CATGATTCATTCTTTGTGTATAATACCCAATGCTCCATTCAATACGTGCCCTCTTTAATACCCATCACCAGGCTAACCCATCCCCTCACCCCCTTCCCCTCTAAAACCCTCAGTTTATTTCTGAGAGTCCATAGTCTCTCTCTCTCTCTCTCTCTTTCTCTTTTTTAACATATAATATATTTATTTCGGAGTTACAGGTCTCTGATTCATCAGTCTTACACAATTCACAGCGCTCACCATAGCACATACCCTCCCAATGTCTATCACCCAGCCACCCCATCCCTCCCACCCCCTACCACTCCAGCAACCCTCACTTTGTTTCCTGAGATTAAGAATTCCTCATATCACTGAGATCATATGTTACATGTCTTTCTCTAATTGACTTGTTCCGATTAGCATAATACCCTCCAGTTCCATCCATGTTGTTGCAAATGGCAAGATTTCATTTTTTATGGCTGCATAATATTCCATTGTGTGTGTGTGTGTGTGTGTGTGTGTGTGTGTGTGTGTGTGTGTGTACCACATCTTCTTTATCCATTCTTCTGTCGATGGACATCTTGGCTTTTTCCATAGTTTGGCTATTGTGGACATTGCTGCTATAAACATTGGGGTGCATGTACCCCTTTGTATCCCTACATTTGTATCTTTGGGGTAAATACCCAGTACTGCAAATGCTGGGTCATAAGGTAGCTCTATTTTCATCCTTTTGAAGAACTCCATACTGTTTTCCAGAGTGGCTGCAACAGCTTGCATTCCCACCAAGAGTGTAGGAGGGTTCCCCTTTCTCCGCATCCTCGCCAACATCTGTGGGTCTCTGACTTGTTAATTTTAGCAATTCTGACTGGAGTGAGGTGGTATCTCATTGAGATTTTGATTTGGATTTTCCTGATACTGAGTGATGTTGACCACTTTTTCCTGTGTCTGTTGGCCATTTGGATGTCTTCTTTGGAAAAATGCCTGTTCGTGTCTTCTGCCCATTTCTTGATTGGATCATTTGTTCTTTGGGTGTTGAGTTTGATGAGTTCTTTATAGATTTTGGATACTAGCCCTTTATCTGATATGTCATTTGCAAATATCTTCTCCCATTCTGTCTGTTGTCTTTTGGTTTGGTTGACTGTGTCCTTTGCTGTGCAAAGCTTTTTATCTTGATGAAGTCCCAAGAATTCATTTTTGCCGTTGCTTCCCTTGCCTTTGGCGATATTTCTAGGAAGAAGTTGCTGTGGCTGAGGTTGGATAGGTTGCTGCCTGTGTTCTCCTCTAGGATTTTGATGGACACCTATCTCACATTTAGGTCGTTCAGCCATTTTGAGTCTATTTTTGTGTGTGGTGTAAGGAAATGGTCCAGTTTCATTCTTCTGCATGTGGCTGTCCAGTTTTCCCAACACCAGTTGGTGAAGAGACTTTCTTTTTTCCATTCGACATTCTTTCCTGCTTTGTGGAATATTAGTTGACCATAGAGTTGAGGGTCCATTTCTGGGCTCTCTATTCTGTTCCATTGATATATGTATCTGTTTTTGTGCCAGTACCATACTGTCTGGATGATGACAGCTTTGTAATAGAGCTTGAAGTCCAGAATTGCGATGCCACCAGCTTTGCTTTTCTTTTTCAACATTCCTCTGGCTATTCGGGTCTTTTCTGGTACCATACAAATTTTAGCATTATTTGTTCCATTTCCTTGAAAAAAGCTGATGGTATTTTGATAGGGATTGCATTGAATGTGTAGATTGCTCTAGGGAGCATTGACTTCTTCATAATATTTGTTCTTCCTATCCATGAGCATGGATCGTTTTTCCATTTCTTTGTGTCTTCCTCAGTTTCTTTCATGAGTATTTTATAGTTTTCTGAGTACAAATTCTTTGCCTCTTTGGTTCGATTTATTCCTAGGTATCTTATGGTTTGGGGTGCAGTTGTAAATGGGATCGACTCCTTAATTTCTCTCTCTTCTGTCTTGTTGGTGTATTGAAATGCAACTGATTTCTGTGCATTGATTTATATCCTGCTACTTTACTGAATTCCTGTATGAGCTCTAGCAGTTTTGGGGTGGAGTCTTTTGGGTTTTCCACATAAAGTATCGTATCATCTGCAAAGAGTGAGAGTTTGACTTCCTCTTTGCCGATTTGGATGCCTTTGGTTTCTTTTTGTCTGATTGCTGTGGCTAGGACTTCTAGTAGTATGTTGAATAGCAGTGGTGAGAGTGGACATCCCTGCCACATTCCTGACCTTAGGGGGAAAGTTCTCAGCTTTTCCCCATTGAGAATGATATTCACTGTGGGTTTTTCATAGATGGCTTTTATGATATTGAGGTATGTACCCTCTATCCCTATACTCTGAAGAGTTTTGATCAAGAAAGGATGCTGTACTTTGTCCAATGCTTTTTCTGCATCTATTGAGAGGATCATATGATTCTTGTTCTTTCTTTTGTTAATGTATTGTATCATGTTGATTGATTTGCGGATGTTGAACCAGCCTTGCAGCCCAGGGATAAATCCCACTTGGTCGTGGTGAATAATCCTTTTAATGTACTGTTGGATCCTATTGGCTAGTATTTTGGTGAGAATTTTTGCATCCATGTTCATCAAGGATATCGGTCTGTAATTCTCCTTTTTGATGGGGTCTTTGTCTGGTTTTGGGATCAAGGTAATGCTGGCCTCATAAAATGAGTTTGGAAGTTTTCCTTCCATTTCTATTTTTCGGAACAGTTTCAGAAGAGTAGGTATGAATTCTTCTTGAAATGTTTGGTAGAATTCCCCTGGGAAGCCATCTGGCCCTGGGCTTTTGTTTGTTGGGAGATTTCTGATGACTGCTTCAATTTCCTTAGTGGTTATAGGTCTGTTCAGGTTTTTTATTTCTTCCTGGTTCAGTTTTGGTAGTTGATGCATCTCTAGGAATGCATCCATTTCTTCTAGGCTATCTAATTTGATGGCATAGAGTCACACATAATATGTTCTTATAATTGTTCATATTTCTTTGGTATTGGTTGTGATCTTTCCTCTTTCATTCATGATTTTATTTATTTGGGTTATTTTTCTTTTTGATAAGTCTGGCCAGGGCTTTATCAATCTTATTAATTCTTTCAAAGAACCAGCTCCTAGTTTCGTTGACCTGTTCCACTGTTCTTTTGGTTTCTATTTCATTGATTTCTGCTCTGATCTTTATTATTTCTCTTCTCCTCCTGGGTTTAGGCTTTATTTGCTGTTTTTTTTTTCCTCTAGCTCCTTTAGGTGTAGTGTGAGGTTGTGTATTTGAGACCTTTCTTGTTTCTTGAGAAAGGCTTATATTGCTGTATACTTTCCTCTTAGGACTGTCTTTATTGCATCCCAAAGATTTTGAACAGTTTTGTTTTCATTTTCATTTGTTTCCGTGATTTTTTTTTTTAAGTTCTTTAATTTCTTGGTTGATCCATTCATTCTTTAGTAGGATGCTCTTTAGCCTCCATGTATTTGAGTTCTTTCCGACTTTCCTCTCGTGATTGAGTTCTAGTTTCAAAGCATTGTGGTCCAAAAATACACAGGGAATGATCCCAGTCTTTTGGTATTGGTTGAGACCTGATTTGTGACCTAGGTTGTGATCTATTCTGGAGAATGTTCCATGTGCACTAGAGAAGAATGTGTATTCTGTTTCTTTGGGATGGAATGTTCTGAATATATCTGTGAAGTCTGTTTGGTCCAGTGTGTCATTTATAGTCTTTATTTCCTTGTTGATCTTTTGCTTAGGTGATCTGTCCATTTTAGTCAGGGGGTTGTTAAAGTCCCCTACTATTATTGTATTGTTGTTGATGTGTTTCTTTGATTTTGTTATTAAGTGGCTTATATAATTGGCTCCTCCCATAGGAGGGGTATAGACATTTACAATTGTTAGATCATCTTGTTCGATAGGCCCTTTATGATATAGTGTCCTTCCTCATCTACTATTACAGTCTTTGTTTTAAAATCTAATTTGTCTGATATAAGGATTGTCACCCCAGCATTCTTTTGGTGTCCATTAGCATAGTAAATGGTTTTCCACTCCCTCACTTTGAATCTGGGGGTGTCTTTGGGTCCAAAATGAGTCTTTTGCCGACAGCATATCGATGGTTCTTGTTTTTTTGTCCAATCTGATAGCCTATGTCTTTTGACTGGCCATTTAGCCCATATACATTCAGGGTAACTATTGAATGATATGAATTTAGTGCCATTGTATTGTATGTAAGGGGACTGTTAACTGTCTATTGTCTCTATTTCTTTCTGGTCTATGTTACTTTTAGTCTCTCTCTTTGCTTAGAAGACCCCTTTCAATATTTCTTGGAGGGCTGGTTTCGTGTTTGCAAATTCCTTTAGTTTTTGTTTGTCCTGGAAGCTTTTTATCTCTCCTTCTATTTTCAGTGACAGCCTAGCTCAATATAGTATTCTTGGCTGCATATTTTTCTCGTTTAGTGCTCTGAAGATATCATGCCAGTCCTTTCTGGCCTGCTAGGTCTCTGTGGATAGGTCTGTTGCCAATCTACTGTTTCTACCATTGTTGGTTACAGACCTCTTGTCCTGAGCTGCTTTCAGGATTTTCTCTTGGTCTCTGAGTCTTGTGAGTTTCACTCTTAGATATCGGAGTGTTGACCTATTTTTAGTGATTTTGAGGGGGGGTCCTCTGTTCCTCCTTGGTTTTGATGCCTGTTTCCTTTCCCAAATTAGGAAAGTTCTCCAGTGTAATTTGCTCCAATATACCTTCTGCACCTCTCTCTCTTCTTCTGGGATCCCAGGTATTCAAATTTTTTTTTTGCTTTATGGTTTCCCTTATCTCTCAAATTCTGCCCTCGTGATCCAGTAGTTGTTTATTTCTCTTTTTCTCAGCTTCTTTATTCTCCATCATTTGGTCTTCTATATCACTAATTCTCTCTTCTGCCTCATTTATCCTAGCTGTTAGAGCCTCCATTTTTTATTGCAACTCATTAATAGCCTTGGTTAGATTTTAGTTCTTTTATTTCTCCAAAAAGGGATTCTCTAGTATCTTTCATGCTTTTTTTAAGCAAAAATATGGAACGCTTCACGAATTTACATGTCGTCCTTGCACAAGGCCCATGCTAATCTTCCATTGTTCCAATTTTAGTCTATATGCTGCCGAAGGGACCACATGGATTTTTTTTTTTTTTTTTTTTTTTTTTTAGTGGCTTCATTTTTTTCCATTTAATTCTAGATCTACTGCGCTTAGTTTGGCTAATGTTATAAGATGGTTTTGTATGTCTTTCATTCCAATTTTGTTCACACCATTTGTAGAAAAAGTATTGTATCAAGAAATTAAATAACATTGGAAAGTGGTTATATGTTATCAGTTATTTTAGATTTATGCATATCCTGTGTCATAGACTTAAGGTCATGCTTGGGTAATATGAGATTAAGACAGATCATACTGTAACCTTTTTTTTAAAAGATAAAAAAATGCATAAAATCAATAAAAACGGAAAGGAGGATGTGAAGACTAGGACAAGCACTAAGGAACAAAGCAGCAGCCAAAGTGGATCGCTCTCATTTAATGCATTGGTTACAAATGACCAAACTTGCAGTCAGAGAAGTCTTATGTTTGAATTCTCTACCACTTTCTACCTTTGTGAACTTTAACTCCATTCTTTCTAGGTTATGTTTAAGGTGAAACCATACAATGTAGGTAAACCAGTTCCAGACCCATCACCACCGTGGCCACTATTACTGTTGTGACTGTAGTCATGGAAGTCAGAAATATAAAATTTGGAGATGCAGTTTGATTCATGTAATTGGGCAAGGATGAAGGGGTATCTTTTGACCTTTGTGCTCTTTATAATAAAATAAGCAGAATAGTATGAATTATGTGCTTTTGAGATTTCTTCCATGTGTATGTATGGATGGATGCATTCAGCATCACTGGGTGGCTCCCCACTATCCAAGTAAAAAAATCTGTTTCCACGAGTTGCCGTGCAGTTCACTTCCTGACTTCTGTGCAGTGATTCACTGGGCACGGAAGCATTGGATGAGGAAGCAGGTGGAGAGTGGGGAGAAAACAGGTAGCTGGCAGTGTTTGCATGGCTTTGCCTATCCTAGTGAGTAAGTGCTCTGTCTGGTTTATCTGTTCTGTATAGATGTTTGTGTTGACCATATTAGACAAAATTGGCTCTTTCCTCCTTTGCCCAAAGGAAGCTTGTGGTGAAAATGCTCTGCAGTAAGGGCATGAATCTCCAGATTGAAAGTCCTTTTTCTCCACTCTTTTGCTGTGTGATTTTAAGCAGGTTCCTTCTTCTTTTGGTTTCCACTTTGCTATTAGGACATAGAAGCACTAGGGCCAGGAAAGTCCTGCATGTGCATCAACGTTCATTCATTTATTAACTTTTTAATCAAATTTTTATTGAATGATTTTTTTTTGTTAGATGTAGTGTTTCGTGCTGGGACAGAGCTGTGTAACAATCACAGAGCTTGTCCTTGTTCCAACCCTCAAGGAATGTGTTATCTAGAGGGATGGATGGACAATAAATATGTGAGTGTATGTATAGTGAATGCTACAAAGGAGAAATGCATAGGTGTCTTGGGTGATAAATAGTGCAGGCCAGTGGTTTGCAAACTTTATCTGCAAAGGGACAGAGAACAAATATTTTAGGAATTACATGCCTATACATACAATGAGTAATTGTTCTCTCCAAATAGCCAATTGTCTTCTTTATATTTTACATTTAAAAATGTAAAACCATCCCAAAAATAAAAATGAAAAACCATCCTTATGTCATATGGGTCTTACAAAAATAGGTGGCAGGCTATAGTCTGCTGACCTCTGATTAGGCACAGCATGTAATGCATAATACAGTCTGCTGGCTGTTGTATCTCTACCCAGGGAATGTTAATGGTTCCTCTTAAAGGATTTGTGTGAGAGATACCTCTCTCTCTCTCTGTTTCCACCTATCTCTAATTCCATTTATCTCCTTTTGCATCGTATCCTCATAGAGTTCAAAAACATGAATGGCATACATGCAGTCATGCTTACCGGTACACTCTTTATATTTTAATTTGGCCTCTGAGAAAGGATCTCACCATGTACTTAGTTTTCATATCATGTTCTGGTGAGTGTATTGGTTAGCGCACTTGTATAGATTCTGTGACAGCAGCTGGGTTTGGTCATCAGTATGCTAGGCTGTATCTGCTGAGGCAGCTGGAGAGAGGGAGATGGAGAGCAGATACTGAGGGCACAGACCGAGGAAGAGAAAAGAACAGCTAAAATACCTAGCTCCTACAGCAGCATTAGCAAACAGGTTCGTTTTGACTCTCCGTTGTTTCGCAGGTTAAAAAAAAAATCTATTTTTACTTAATAGAATCAGAGACCTGATATCCTCTATGGATACACTAAGCTCTTTGGAAAGACCCCTAAATAGGAATCAAATTCAATTAGAAAACAGGACAATGTCTATTATGTTGTAAAACTCATAATATTAATAATATTGCAAATACAAAAGCCAAGATTTTTTTGAAATGGCACTTAAGATGCCCAGAACACTTAAAAATGTTCTGAATTTTATTCATTCTACTATAAGCTTATTGTAAGTTTTCAATTCAAACATTTTTATAGATACCTCTAAATATAATTATACCAAGAACTAGAAGGAGAAAAAAAATCCAAATGAATTCAATTGGCAAATATTTGCTTTATTTCTCTCTCTCTCTCTCTCTGCCCCCCCCCGCTCTCTCTTTTTTTTTTTCTCACTTTCCCCTTAATTGTCTCAGTGTCTTTTTCTGATCGTGTTTTATTTAAACTAAGAAAAAATGTGACTGGGGAAAATGCCAAAGATCTAATCAAGGAATTGTCAATAATAACCATGTGATTCAGGCCATAAATCACTTTGGATTAAGCATCACCCTTCATCTTGGTGTGAAATTTTCAATACCATTTATTTGTTATCTGCCAATGGAGATTAAAATGTCGCCTTCCCAGGAGATCTTTCAGAAATGGATGGATCCTCACTATCAAGGCAGCTGGGAAACTGCCTGTCTGAAGACAGTCAAATAAAGCTGATGGCATGCTGGGTTCTTTTCTTCCCTAAAAACTTGAAACGATTTCTACACAACATCCAGTTTAGAAAGTGAAAATTTGGTCAAACCATTATGTTTCGTATATGATGACACATGCATCTTAACAAAAAGAAGAGCAGTTGATTGATGATCTTAACATTGTATGTTTGTGTGTGTGTGTGTGTGTGTGTTATTAGCCATCCGATGTATTTGTTTAACAAAGTAAACAAAGAGCCTTTCCATGAAACTCCTGCGATTGAAATAATAATAAGCAATATTCTGAGCACTTGCTATGTTCTAGGCACTAATTCCTTTATGTGTGTTATTTCATTGGATTTTCCCAATTGCCCTATGAAGTAATTCGCTATCACCATTTACAGAAGAATTTCTAAGGTACAGAGAGGTTGTCAGCCCAAAGTTACACCATTTATAATGGGAAGGCCAAGATTTGAACCTGGTCTTCACAGCTTACGCTCTTCAATACTGTACCAGACCTTGTCTCCTTCCTTCATAGAGGTTTTCCGATTTGCAGTTCTGTATTTTTTTGTGTATCTTTCTATCACGTCCCTGTCCTCCCTAGACTGTAAGTTGCATGATGGCAAGATTGTTGTATTTTGTTCACTGCTGTGTTCTCAAAGCCCTAGGATAGTGGCTGGCACACAGTGGGAAAGCAGTGAATAAATATCTGTTGGAAAAATGGATGAAAAATGTCCTACAGGCATAGTATTGGCTAGCAATAGTACTAAAGGAAATATTTGTCTTCTACTTTGTAGATGGCCAGTGTTGAATGCGGCAAGCCCACCCTCTCCTGGTGCTTAAGCTTTTTTCTTTTTGATAGTCCCCAGTGTCAGCAAATTAGATACTACTAATTTCCACATTTTGCATAGGAGAAAACTAAGATTCATGGATATTAGTTATGTGAACTTGGACATACTGTTTTAATCAGATCTGTTCCTATGTCGATTCATAATTAAGCCCAAATGCAGAGGTGATAGAAGCCTTCCACTCTTAAGCAAAGCTTGCTTCAGTTCTGTTTGAATATTAGGCCTTACCACAGTGTATCCCAAGTCTTTTTTAGTTCTAGTTCTATTAACTGACATTAATGTAACAATAGCTAATGCACATTATCCCATATATTACAAATATTTCAACATTCTTTAGCAATGACCTTTATTATCAGAACTGTAATTGTGAGTGCAAATCCTCAGTTTCTTAAAAACTTCCTTGGGTATGACATAAACTTGCCCTTGAATATTAACTAGAACTAGTATGTGTATATGAGTAATAGTAACACTCCACATCTGTGTAGCATTTACAGAAACACATTTAGTTGGTATTCACTATCAGCCAGGCTGTGTCAAACCCTGTTACATACATTATCTTATTTATTATCTTATTATTATCTTATTATCCCATTTCGACACCTGAGCCACTTGAGGTTTGTAGAGGCCAGTGACTTGTTTAAGTGAGAATCAATAAATGGGGAAGCAAGGTACCATTTTCAGGACTATGCAGTTCAGAATTTACGATCTTGCCACCTTGGTTTTCAGTCTTGCCCAGTTCTCCCAAAATTCTTAAAAAACAAAACAAAAAAACCCAAAAACCCAAAACAGTTTAAGTGATTGGTTCAAGATTACAATATTTATAACAGGCAGAGATAGCACTAGAATTCAGGTCAACTAGATACTACTCTGTTGGATTTGACGCTACACTTAGTCTTATACTTGTCTATACATGTGTTGAACAGATATGAAAATAAAATATTTCCTATTTATAGTTATAAAAAAATTTTATTGCCTGCTTTTCCTTGCTGTACTCAGGTGGCCCTTTAAAAGTTCTAATTGCTGAGGTAACCACATTTACATTCAAGGATGAGGATATTTTAGCAAGAACAAGTTAAATTCCAAAAATCACAGGAAATAAAAGTTACTCCTTTTGAAGATCTTATTGATATTCTGATAGGGTAAAATTTAAATAAATAACTAGGTCGAAATGCAAGTTCAGTTTTGCATGTGAAAACTCAGCAAGTATTCTCAAACAACATGTGATTGTTAGACGATGTTGTGAAAAAGCACTCTTCTGTTAGTGGTTTCAATGCAGAGAAGTCTT